TCCTAAGCCAATGCTGCCCCCAACATCCCCCCAAAAGCTAACAGCAGCGCCAACACCGCCGCGGGATCCCGGCTCTCGGGTCCGCACGGAGAGGCACCGAACGGCGGAGCGGGTGCACGGAGAGGCACCCCCCCGCGCCTTCAGTGCTCTTTCCGCTGAGCGTTATTTGCAGCATATGTTTCGCACATCCATTCTCTTTCAGTCCATTCTTCTCTGCTCTGGCTGCTAACACGGTTATATTCACCTTGAAATTTCCTCTGCTATTTTCCAATTAAAAGCTTAATAGCCCTGGAAACGGAGTTCATGTGGTGCAGTTTACCGTAGCCCCTTCTCCTGAAAAGCTTTCTGCTGGGATCCCATTATGTGCTTGAATAAACCTTTTCTACAAACAGAAATGGGAATCGGGGCTGTCAGGTGTTGGGTTACAATAGACTTCCATGCGGGGGATGTCTCGCTCGCATAAATACAAACCCGGCCCTGTGGGGAGATGTTGTCAAATACGGGGGTACGGAAAATATTCTCATCAAATACGAGAAAAGGGTTACGGCACTGTACCAAACTTCAGCCTCCGCACCAGGCGCGCAGCCAAGCGGCAGGGCGTTCCGTCCCCGAGCCGAGCACCTCCGACGTATCCCACCCCCCAGCTTCCAACCCTCACCCCCCAGGACGGTGGGGTCTTCCCCGCCACCCCCGCAGCTCCGATTTGGGGCAAGCGTTTCGAGGGCGCCGCGCGCCGCGTTTTGCCCTATGAAGATGCGTTTATTCGGTCTGCGGAGAGGATACCGCCCGTTTGTTTTTCTTCCAGCGAAGGGCTGAAGACGCGCGGGTGCCCGCAGAAGGCTGCGGGTCCCCTGGGTGCGGTGCAGAGCACGGTGCGGGGAGAAACGTTCCAGAAGCGGGAGGCTCTCCTCTCCCGTCCCGGCGCTCCCCGGGAGCAGAGCGCACGGTGCGTTCCTGCTCGTACTCCTCACACCCAAAGCACGGCCACCGGATCTTGACACAAAACTACAGCAGTAGTTATAGGACGGAGTGATGAATGGAACACGGTGTGAGTGCCTTTATGGCAGCACGCACGCCTCTCTCTATTCTCGCTCTTCGTTCTGTTTAGCAAGTTTTTAACCTAATTTTCTAATTAAGCACCCTCGTTAGATGGTGCGATTCGCGCAGGAGTTACGAGATAGGGATACTGGTCTCTCAGAGACTTGGAGGTAGCGAAACGGACTCACGTCGGAGCCTCAGCCGCTGCCCCGGGCGTTGATGGGCGCTGCCGTCCGGCATCGGAGCTCCCGCAGGAAAACTCCTGCGGGGTATCGCCGTGTCCTAGTAGTGTTCCCATACTTCCGTTCACTCGCATATTACACTTGGGTTTTTAACTAAATTCTCTCTGGTATATCACTGTTTCAGTGAAAAACCTTTCCACGTTCTCCCCCTCTTTCCCCAACGCGGCACTGAACACAGCAGAGGCTTCGGGCAGCGGCCGCGCCCCGCGGTGCCCGCCTCGTATGGCAGCCGCCATCTGCGTCCCCGCAGCCGCCCCGTGGAACGGCAGAAATAGACCCGCGCAGCTCCGGGGCGCGGCGAGTCCTGGCCCCCTCTGCCCTGACCCTTCCAAAGTTCGAGAAAACTTTGGTCACACGTTCCCGCTTCCTGCTCCCCCGCTCTCTCCTGCTTCTGCGTGTTGGGGAACGCGGGTGGCACAAACCCCCGCCTGCCCCAAGCGGGGACGCGCCCCTTAGGCAAATGGTGGGCTGAGGGGACCCCTCCATCTTTTCCTTCTTTCCTCCTTCCCTCCCTCCTCCCTCCCCTCCCTGCCCCTGGCCGCAGGTGGGTGGTGGAGGGGGGCGGGCGGGGCCGGAGGCGGGCGAAGGGGGCTGAGCGGCGGGCGCTGGGCTCGGCGGGGCGGCGCGGGCAGCGGCAGTGGCGCTCCGGCCGGCGGCAGCTCTCTGCCCGACGGTGTCACCGCGGCGGGCGGCGGCTTCCCCCGCCGGTCTGGGGAGCGCCGAGCCGCCCGCCCCCGCTGAGCTCTTCTCCACCCCGGAGCCGCCGGGCTCCTCCCGCGGGCATGAACGGCTACGGCTCCCCGTACCTCTACATGGGCGGCCCCGTGTCGCAGCCGCCGCGGGCGCCGCTGCAGCGGACGCCCAAGTGCGCCCGGTGCCGCAACCACGGCGTGCTGTCCTGGCTGAAGGGCCACAAGCGCTACTGCCGCTTCAAGGATTGCACCTGCGAGAAGTGCATCCTCATCATCGAGCGGCAGCGGGTGATGGCCGCGCAGGTGGCCCTGCGCCGGCAGCAGGCCAACGAGAGCCTGGAGAGCCTCCTCCCGGACTCGCTGCGCTCCCTCCCGGGGCCGCCGGGCAGCGCCGAGCCCTCCGCCGCCCCTCCGGGGCCGCCGCCCTGCGCCGGGCCGCAGCGGGCCCCCGCTGAGCTGGCAGCCGCCGCCGCGCTGCGCTGGGCCACCGAGCCGCCCTCCGCGCTGCTGGGGCCGCTCCCCAAGGCAGGTGAGGCCGCGGCGGGTTCGCGAGGCTCCGGGAAGAGGGGAAGAGGCGCGCGATCCCCTCTCCCCGACGGCGCGTCGGGGTGGGAGGGGAGGGAAGGCCCGGCCGCCTCCTCTTGCCCGGCGGGAGCGTTTTGTAGTTAGTTGGACGCCCTAACAGAGTCACGAGCGTCGGGCCCGGTGCGAGTCCCGACTCTGCTCCCGGCGCATCTCTGCAGACGGGCCGGGAAGC